CAGGACGTCATCGCGATCGTCTGCTTGGTCCAAGCTCCGTTTCAAGAGGTTGAGGCGCAGAGCGTCTTCCGTCATCCTGTCCATCCTGCGGGGACACAGATCGACAGGGGGACACCATCAGCGGCAAAGGCACAAAAAGGGCAGAGCAGCCCCCAGGGGGATGTCAGAGCCCGGCTCTTCCCCCCTCGGGGAGCACCCACCTCCCACGCGCCGGCGTGCGCTGACCTGCCGGCAGCCGCGCTCATGCGCTTTCCAATCCCCATCCGAAACCAACCCGGCGGGGGCTTTCCCAGGGAGAAGGAACCCCCCCGTCCCCGCCGGGCGAGAGGAACCCCCGAAACCTTCGCAAACGAGGGGCACGATCCCTCGTTCGGCGTTAAGAAGCGACTCGATGAAGGGAGACGGAAACCACTCAAGGCGTCCGGGGGCAGCTCAGCTCCTTCTCGCGCTACGGTCTCAGATTTTTTAAGGCGTCGTGCCGCGGATTTGGGGGGGTTTGAGGGGATTCAAGGCTCCTTCTATCAGCTGCGGCACGCCGAGGTTGGTAGGAAGCTTCTAAAATTACGGGAAACCCCCAACCAGGTGGTTTTTTTCCTGCTCCCGGGCGAAGGTGCCCAGTTAGTCGGCGAGGAATGAGAGGGCACCCTCCAAGGATGAAGCACGCACGGGACCATCCCACCCACGCTCGCTTCTCCATCTCCTCCAGGTGCAGAAACGCCCCGTGGCGAACAGATGCAGGAAGAAGAGGAAGGAGCCGCAAGAGCCCATCCCCAACCCCGGCTTCTCTGCTCTTAGGCTGATAAGAAGCTAGTTACAACGCAAAAATAAAAAAAATTAAACAAAAAGAAAGAAAAAGCCAAGGAAGCTCCACCTGAAAACAAGCTTGGTGAGCTCTTTACCTCACGACACGCACACCGGGGCTGGGGACGGTGACAACCAACCAGAGGATATAAAATGTTTTCGCCTCGAGAAGGCCGATGACTTTTTTCGTTCCGCGAGGGCTCCTTCCCAAGGTCTGGGTGGCCCAAGCTGAAAGGTGAGGCCGAAGTTGGGGCTTCAGGTGGAGCTTCCTCAGACAAAGCTTGGCCGCGCCAAAGTTCTGCCAGGAAAACGTCGTCCCGGCTCGGCTCTAAATCCCCCGTGATTACCCATCTCTTCCGAAACGCGGAGTTCAACCGCGGCACCGAGGCGGTTCTGAGAGTGCGAACGGCGCTAGAGGAACTCTTGAAATTAAAAAAAAATCAGCGGTGTAGTAGTGAGCGGCGAGAAAACAAATGCGATAGGGACGAAAAAAAA